GTCTCAAAAAAAAAAAAAAAAAAAAAAAAAAAAATCCAGAAGGAAACTGTTTTTCATGTTCAAACTTTGTTTTCAGATCAAACTTCTCTATATGAAAAGGCACCCTCTAATATATGTTTTCAAAAAATTTAAAGTAGCCATTTTATCTGCTAAATAATGTCAGGTACTTCAAAAAGTATGCTACTGACATTCAAGAATAAGCTACTGATGTTCAAGTACTCCGTATATTGAATGCCAAGGTTTCAATTCAGAATATTTCAGTTAGCATTTTTTTATGAGGTGGAGTCTCGCTCTGTCACCCTGGCTGGAATGCAGTGGCACGATCTCAGCTCACTATAACCTCCCAGGTTCAAGCAATTCTCCTGCCTCAGCCTCCCAAGTAGCTGGCACTACTGGCACGTGCCAACACGCCCAGCAAATTTTTTGTATTTTTAGTACAGAAGGAATTTTACCATGTTGGCCAGACATCTCAAACTCCTGACCTCAGGTGATCCACCCATCTCGGCCTCCCAAAGTGCTGGGATTACAGGCGTGAGCCACCGCTCCTGGCCTCAATTAGCATTTTTAAATTTTTTCCTTTTACTTTTAGGTGATACGTAACAATTGTACAGACTCATGGGATACACAATGATGTTTCCATTTTTCCTCTAAGTTTTCAAATTTTGGACAACTTTTATTAAAAGTAATCTCCTTTGAATGTGCTGAATGCATATGTTTTACAAAAACCACCTAATTAGATTTCTATGTATAAATACCTTGTTGTATAACAATTGAATCAAGTCTCAGTTTTATCTCAGCTCTTTCTACAATCCTCTCTTCAACAGTGTTGTCAGTGATGAGACGGAATACACGTACTGGCTTCTTCTGACCAATACGATGTGCTCGATCCTAGTAGAAAGAGTCCTAATATAAGATATTCGATATTCTGTATACAATTTATAGAGTATAGCCATCATATTCCATAAAATTCTAAAACTAAAATTAGTTCTTTATCTCTAGATCTGACACTCTGGAAAAGGGCATGATGAATATTGAGAATGTCTAAAGACCACTGGGAACAAAGAAGTCTGTAACTATTACATTGTACCATTAATGGGAAACTTCCAGGACAAAGGGCAAAGCACCTGTAAGATGAAGAAAAGAGGGAGCTGAAAGTTTCTGGGTTGAGTTACTAAGTAACTTTAAGTCACTAAACATAAACATCTTCCAAACTAGCAAGGAATTTTATTAAGTAGTTAGTAAGAGTTGCTATGGTGGCAAAAGTCTGCTTTATCTCATCATCAGGCACTTCTTTCTGCTTACGGAGGGATATGTAGTAAAGAGTTATAAAAATTAATAGGATATTAATATCCTTACTATACAGTAGTCTAGAACTGGTCCTATGGTTTATAGTTGGTACAGGTGACAGGAAGCAAACTTCTAGTGGTATCAAACCATCTAGGGAGAGTATTTTTAAAACACAGAAGCTGCTAGAGCAAACAGGTAAAGAGAGGAAGGTAGTAGAGAAAAAATGTTTTAAGTTTTAAACAGGCCTGTATTAAATATAAAAACACTAGAACCTAGTAACAAAGTTTCAACAGAGCACATTAAAACAATGTAATACTCTACACATATTTACACTAAACCTGAACCAACAAATCCTGAAAGACTGGATGTGCACCAAGACTTCTAAGGAAATAAAGTGCTATCACTAATAGATTTTCCAGTTCAGTAACACTGTAACTTACTGGGGCTTACTCCTAGTTAGTCATATCAAACAGGTAGTTCAATACCATGGTAATGTAATGATAATTACACCAAAGCATATTGATTTTGGAATGTCCCAGTGGTCAATCCTTTTCAATTCTCTATTATAAAAGGAAAGCCTTCTAAGTTATATCTCATTGGCATATGACTTTTCATTGCTCCCAAAAAGACAATTATCCCATACCTATGTATTCAAAATCCTAAGAAGTTATTTTGTACCCTTTTATTTCTAAATTATATTTCTTTATCTGAAAATGTAAGTCACATTGAGAGAAGTTGTAGCTTTAGTTCAATCAACGACACCAAAATATCAAAGGAGTTACCTGTAGTGTTTTGATGAAAGGTCAGAAAAGAGCTCCCTAAAAAAAAATTTTTTTTAAGTGTAGAATAGCTTTTGGATAGTGTCCTTATTAAGTATCAAGTGTTTTCCTGGAATATATTCCTTTCTTACCTTTTTACCTTCTCTCCCAAATTGCTTTATTATGAAAGTTAAAATCTTACCTCTCCCAATTTCAGTACAAAGGATTTTAATATATTTAGTTGTTACGCAGAATAATAACAACAGACTGTTTTTTAATCCCTTTCATCAAAACAAATTTATGTGTCCTCTTCAATCTTTGGAATGGGAAAAAAATTTCTATTTCATGATAAAAACCAAAATCAACACATAAATGCTATAGTTGGATCTGGGGTGTGTTTGTTGTAGGCTTCCATTTCGTTTGTTTTTGCAATTAGCACAGCAACTGTGTGCTCTAGGATAATCGACTGTAACTTCTACAAAGTCTCTCAAAAATTGTTAACTGTTTTATCATGAATGACCTTGATGCTGTATAAATAGCAATAGTATTCAGAGCTATGATAAATTTCTGACACCATTAAAGATTACTAACCATAGCTTGTAGATCAACCTGTGGGTTCCAGTCTGAATCATAGAGTATAACTACATCAGCACTTGCCAGGTTAATTCCGAGACCTCCAGCCCTGGTACTTAGCATAAAGATGAATTTGCTACTATTGGGAGCATTAAATGCCTCTATTGCTTCCTTAATTTTTAATTGATAAAAGGATAGAAGAAAAAGAGAAAAATAAAATTAGACTATCAGGGTCCTTAAGAAACAAATAAAAACATTTAAAATACATATAGAAAATCTTCACACACTTTCTAATATTCTTTATAAATATACTTTATAATATTCTTCCATCTTCAAAAATATTTAAGTATCTATACATACACTATACTATGTGAATTTATGTAGAAAGTATATTATGTTAATGAAGTTCCTAATCTTTAAAAGCTTACATCAATAGAGACAAACTTAGAATAATTACATAGTCAAATTTAACTAAGCAAGTAGTAATTCATTTACATTATTTAAAAACAATAACAGTGAAAACGTTTTAATTGAGGGAGAGCTGAAATATATCTGGGGGGTGAATTATCAGAAATCTCAACTTCATTCCCATTAGCTTATGAATGATTAGTTTAGGAGATCAACCAACAGAGAAAATGATTTAGAAATGGGAATGAGAGCAACAGATAAAGAGGAAGGTAAGAAGATTTTTAACAGTATGGTAACAAGGAACAAGTCAGTAAGTTATAAAGAAAATCAGGAAGACAATCCAGGGATATTTAGTAAAGAATCTTAAAATTAATATTAATATTCTTACTATATAAAGATTTCATACAAATTAATTAGAAAACAAATTCCAGTAGAAAAATGAGCAGGAAAAAAAAACCAGACAATTCAAAGAACAAATACAAATGGTTAGAAAACAATAATAATGTTCATTCTCACTAGTAATCAAATAAACACAAACTAAAACAACAACATAACATTTTTGAAGATTAAAAAATGATAATACTCAATGTTGACGAGGGGGCGGTGAGACGGGCACTCTCATACATTGCTGCTGGGAGTATAAATGGGTACAACCTTTCTGGAAAGCAATTTGGCAATATGCATCAAGAGCCTTAAAAATGTTCATACCCTTTGACCCCGAAATTCCACTTCTAGGAATTTATCCTATGGAAATAATCAGAGATGTGCACAAAGATTTATGTATAAAAACTTTCACTATCGCATTATCTATAATAGTGAAAAACTGGAAACAACCTAATCAATCAACAATAGCGGGATGAATTATTTCTAGTACATCCATAAAATAAAATATTAGCCTAAAATTATTTTTACAGTGATTTTTTATGGACATTAAAAAGTACAATATTATACTGAGCAAAATGTATCAGGATACTAGACTTTATATATAGTATATGAACTATGATACCAATTACTTGTACGTATTACATATACCTAAAAAGATTGGCCAGAAATACTTGTATTTATTTTCAAAACTTCCTTCAGCAGTCACATATTACTTGCATATTCACAAAGTATGGGCAATCTTTTTTAAACTAAATGGGTGGCATGGTCAAAGTTTTAGGCAGAGAAGGTGACTCGCACCATCACAGTCAGCAGAGCAGGTAAAGGGGGCAGTACAGAAAGCAGCATGGTGTAGTGAGAGGCACCTTGGTGTAGAGGAAATAGCAAAAACTTGGGCATGAATCACGACTTCATCATTGATTACATCTGTGATTCTGGGCAAGTATTTAATCTCTCTGAGACACAGTTTCAAACGGAGAAAATTATACCAATACTTTACCAGGCTGCTGGGAGAATTCAATTGGAACTTTAAGTTGCCTAGCTTATAGTAGTTGCTTGACAAATGTTAGTTCCTTTCCCTACAAAAGTGAGGAGGCCAATTAAGCAGAGGTTACAGGAACTGAGTCAGACGATGACCAGTGGCTTTGTTAGCTGAATTTTGCTGTAGTAACGGAGAAAGGGAAAATCTGAGAGCTGTTGAGAAAGAATTACTTATTCACAGCTGGCACACAGTAAGTAAGGAATCAAACGTGGTCTTCTCCTTCTCATTGGGAAAATTGATGAAATGACGGTGTGGACAACATAATGGGAATGCAGGGCATTTCCAAGAAAAAATGAACAGCTCTGACTTTGCTATATTTAAAGTCGATACATGAAATTCAGAGTCTCTGAGGGGTAACGTTGTTTAGAATTTTTTAAAACCAGAACAATTTTGGACATAAACAGATGAACAGTAGAGAGCTCAGTCATAAATGCAAATTTGCTATCTCAGGTCAGAAAGCACGTACTGTAATGCCATGATATTCTCTTCATTCTAGGAAGAAGGATAATCCTGAATGGTACCATGGGGCCTATGTTTAGTGTGGATTCAGAGAAACCAAGCCTCAGAAATAAGTCAGCAAAAGCTCAGTTAACGCTTTGAGTTGCCATATCAGAGAGTAAAAAAACTATAGGGCAGGGAATAGTGTAAGCTTTGAAATGTCCTCATATGTATAAATGTTATCGCAACTGTTTCCCTATAGAGGTAGCAGTAAAACCTTTAATATGAAAAGGGTCTGGGTGCTTGCTGTGAACACTATGCTATGCTAAAACCATGCTTCAACAAGGAAGCACACAAGGAATGGAGTGCCCATTGCAGCTATGGAAGGAATAGGATGCGGGCTAAGAGAGAGTCCCTGTGGCCTGAGATGGGGCCCTAAAGGTGTAAGGGAGAAAGCCCTGTGTGTAATTTCACGACATGTGGTACGTACTGCAATATGCCATTTACCACTGTGCTCCTACCTATTATATCCACTTATCCTCACAACAACACTGTCAGACAAAGAAGCCTAGGTATTATCCTTATAACAGAACTAAAGATACTGAGGCTCAGAGAATTAAATGGCTTGCACACACTGCAAAGTGGTGGAGTTGGTGCCAAAACTCAGGTCTTCTGAAACCAAGTTCAGTGCATTTTCCACTATACCATAAAATCATGATCTTTACCCAAAGCATGAGTACAGCAGGTCCTCGAGTAACGTCGTTTCATCATAAAACTGATGAGAAAAAAAAAAAAATCAATTCCTGGCCAGGGCCACAGTCCATATGGGTTTTGCATGCGCTCCCCATGTCAGTATGAGTTTTCCCCCGTGTCTTCCCACAGCCCAAAGCTGTGCACAAAACGCGAACTGGAATGTCTACACAGTTCCAGTATGAGTGTGGTGTGTGTGAGCGTGCCCTGTGATGGAATGGCATTCTGTCCAGGGCTAGTTCCTGCCTGGGGTCCTGAGCTGCCAGGAGAGGCTCCAACCACTGTAATCCTGAACTGGAATAAGAAGGTAAATAATTTTCTTACTTGCATTTATTAATCTTTCTTAAATGTATGTATGGCTCACCTTTATTTCCATGTTTAATATTATAAGTGTTTTCGTCTTTATTTGTAAGTTTGGTAATGTCTTTGTGACCAGAAATATGTCATAGGAACTGGGGTCTTGTCTTGTCACACAGTTTGAAATGCAGTGGCACAATCACAGCTCACTGCAGCCTCAAACTCCTGGGCTCAAGCAATCCTCCTGTCTCGGCCTCCCAAGTAGCAGGGACTATAGATGCATGCCACCATGCCTGGCTAATACTTTTTTAAAATTTTTTCTTTCTTCTTCCCAATCCCAAATGTTGGGATTATAGGCATTAACCAACACACCTGGCCAGAACTTAAATCTTGTTTATATCAATTAGCCTAAGATCACACATTGTTTTGCTTGAAGTTGCCGTTTCTAAGAACCTATCAACGACATTAAGTGAGGACTTACTGTACAGACTTAAAACAAAAGCCAAAGACAGAGCGCTGAAGGATCACAGAAAACAGAAGATAAATTAGCAAAGCCTTCCAAGAAAAAGTGCTTTAAAAAGGGTATTAAATGCATTCGACCCATGACATTTGTGAAGGATAATCTAAAGACCTATAAGAATTTCCATGTTTGAGAAAGATACTGCATACTAAATAAGCTTACTCGCTAAGTGACCCATTCCTACATGCCAACCTTTTAGTGTCCCAAGGTCTAAATTCATGATAAATACCTAGACCTATGCTGTCACATTTAGTTTTTACAAGAGCTCTATAAGAACCAAGATTATTCCCTTTACAAATGGCTATGCTTCATGAGTCTTTAGGGTTGCTTATAAACGGGCAAAATTTCAACCATTAAACTCCACAAATGGCCAAGGTCTGCTATAGCCGGCAAATCAGGAAAAGAAAATGACATAAAATTGGAGATCAGAGAGTAAGGTGAGAAACTGTTAGTAATTTAAAAAGTCAGAGATAGGCATGGTTAGAGAAGATAAGAATGGAGGATGGGATGGTATAGTGTCCTTTAGATAAGAGATGACGTCTTTGAAGACCTTGAAAAAGATGATTTGTAAAGAGTCAGTGGAGTGGAAGCCAAATTGAAGACTGACACGAGAAAAGAGATGTCAATGAGAAAGTCAATGTACCCACCTAAAGAAAAGGCAAAAGTTCAAAACTACCTAATGTTGATAAACATTGCTTAATTGAACTCTGATTTCTGAAGTCTTATTTTATTTTCTCTTCCTCACCTCTCTTTCTTCATGAGGGGTTTGTCCATCCAGTCGACAATACTCATAACCACGCCACATGCAATAATCTTCCAAAATGTCCAGCAAGCGAGTCATCTGGCTGAAAATGAGAACCCTTGAACCTAAAACATTTCGCCAAGAAAATGTGAGTTATACAACTTATGTGAAACTAACTTAAAAGCTGCAAAAATGAACATTATATGCAAGATAAATGTAGAGCACATGAATACTTCACTAAACTCACACACACACACACACACACACACACACACACACACCCTTCAAGAGATGCTATGTATAGAATTATGCATTCGTTGAGTTGGCCATTTTTTAAGGTCTTCAAACTCCTCCAGACATATTGCTATGACTTGAAAGAAATTGCCTTTACTTTTTCTTAAGGATGAATGATGGGTCCACAGACTCTCACTGGACTACAGCAATAGGGTCCCAACGAGCCTCCTGTTCCTAGTCTCTCACCCTTAATAGACCCCATACTGCTTCCACAGTTCTCTTCCGAACATGTAGGAGTGACATACTCTGACTGTCACTCCTCACAGCCAGTTATTCTCTGACCCTCCCTCTGCCTTCAAAATAAAAGTCCTAACTCCTTAAAGCATGGTTTAAAATACCTTTCATAATTTGGCTCCAGCCATCTTTCCAGATTCATCAACTGCCATTCTACCCCAAGTACCATATGCTCTATTCTTTTTTTCACACTTGTTTCACTACCCTGGAAAACCCTTCCCCTTCTTCCCCATGGTTCAGTCCTATGCCTTCTCCAGTGCTCACCTCAAAGGTCATCTCCGTGAAGACTTTCTCAACTCCCAGATTCTCAACATATCATAGCACTTACCACAATGAATTACAACTAGTCCTCCTCACTACACTGTGAGCTTATCCAAGGCAAAGACTGTTGTCTTATTCATCTTTGTACACCCAGCCCATAGGACAATTCCTGGCAAATAGTAAGTACTCAACAATGTCTGCTGAATAAATGAATGAATGAATATGGAAAATTTTATTGATATACAAGTTATTAATATAAATTTATTCCATGCTAATTTAAAAATGTATTACTTACCCTGTTCTTTGAGTTTGGCCAATAGTTTATCCAGAACTACCATTTTACCACTGTTGCTGACAATATGTTCATCAGTGGTGTAAGGTGGACCAGGTTCGGCACCATCAAACAGATACGGATGATTACAACACTTTCGAAGCTGCATCAGAATGTTTAAGAGTCGCATCTTGTCCATCTTGCCAGAAGAGTTTAAAACATCAATATCTTTCATCAGGATTTTTGTATACCTAAAAGTTTAAACTATAATTAATCATCAATTACTAGAAAGTTAATGTCATAAAAAAAAAAGTTCCTTTGGCCATCAGATTAGATTCCTGTTTAAAGATAAACAAGATCTGATTTGAGACTAAATCTGATGGGCAAAACCAACAAAGAAATGAAAATTTGAACATTTGAACTTGCATGTTGCTAATAAACCTGTTTCCTCCTGCTTTATCCACGACCAGAAATTGTCATCAGTTGATAATTATTTAGAGAATGATACCTGCTAATTACGCAATAACTATAACACCTCACTGAAAGTTGACATCCACCATTTACTTGTTTGAATGAATAACAATTTCAATTGTTTATACCTGTCTTCACAGGTCATTATTTTCTGATCCTATAAACATTTTTCATTCTCTTTTCTAGAGCTCCACCCCCACAAACAGAGACTTATGTATATATAGATGCCAGATCAATAATATGTAACTATAATAGTGATCAACTTTTACTGAGTGCAAGTGCCAAGTATCATGTCAAGGGCTTTATATGAATTATGCCACTAAATCTTCATAACAACTCTGAATATTTACTAGTATCATCCCCATTTTATAGGTGAAAATTAAGGCAGCTAAGAGACGTTAAACAACTTACTCGGGGTCACCAAAGGGAAAAAAACCAAGCTCTGATCTTATATCTGAGTCCAAAAAATATACTCTTAATCTCTACCCTACACTGGCTTGTGTAGTAAAGAAATCATATATTTTATGCATGATCTAATTTTATTTATATACATAACATTTTGCTCCTATTAGCAGCACTATCACATTATTAATAGTTCTGATTTATGATTCCTTGTAACTTCTCTTGTCAATTTCCTGCTTTAATTGCATTTATCTAACCATTCCAGAT